ATTAAAAATTAAAACTCTAGGAGATTAGTTTGTTTTTAAAAAGATCACAAAAATTAGCAGCCTTCCAGCCAAAAATACATACCCATGCTGGGCTTCCATTGCATTCAAGCTCAGTGTTCTGGATGACAAATGCAGCAAGGAAGCCCGATTTGTATGTAATGAATATTCACCAAGCCCTATCAGATTTGTGAAATGGTAAGCCTGAACTTTAGGAACATAAGAGAAAGTGAAATGCTGTGATGTGTCCAAATTGGACAACAAACCTATAAACTAAGGGCATTTGCAGATGACGTAGTTCTTTTTGTGGTAAACCCTTTGGTTAATGTGATAAAGCTATTTGAAATGATAAAGCAATTTGGTGATTTAGCTGGTTTTTATACTAATAGGGATAAAACTAAAATGTTGGTGAAAACTATGGATCAGCATATGAGAAAAGTTCTGCAAGAGAACTTGGGGTAAAGGAGGAAAAAAAGGAGAAATATTTAGGTATATGTATAACAAATAAAAATGCAGTGTTATATTAAAATAATTATGCAAAAGTGTGGAACAGCATGAAATTAGATTTGCTAAGATGAGAAAGAAGGAAGTTTTCATTGTTGGGAAGAACATCGGCTATAAAAATGAATGCGCTCCCTAAGATGTCTTTCCTATTCCAGACAATACCAGTAATAAGTAATATGAACTGCTTCAAACAATGGCAAAAAGAACTATCTAAATTTATCTGGCAGGGGAAAAAATCCAGGAATAAATTTAAAACTTTAACGTATGCTAAAGAAAAAGAAGGGTTTTCACTGCCAGACCTAAAATTATACTCTGAAGCAGCCCATTTGAGTTGGATGAGGGAATGGATGGTATTGAAAAACACGAGGTTACTTGATGTAGAAGGTTAAGGGTGGCATGCATATTTATGGTAGGAGAAAGTCAAGATCCACAGAGAATTTTAAAATCATGTTATAAGAAGAAGTTTGTATAGCGTGTGGATCTAATATAAAAAAATTCTTGAAGGAAAACACCATTGCGGTTATTTCCAACAAAGGCATGTGCTCAAAATAAATTGACTATGGAAGCAGAATGGGGTACATAGAGAGAGAGGTTTTCTGGAGATGGTTGTGAATTGAAAACACAGGAAGAAATTCAGGATTGGGTGACGGGATGGCTTTAATACCACCAAGTAAATGAATTATTTAAGAAAGATAGGACATATGGTTTAACCTGAATTTGAATTAAGAGTGCCAGAAGGCAAAGAAAAACTGATTCTGAAAATGTATAAAACGTTATTAGAATGAGAAACAAAATATGAACTGATTAAGCCCGCAATTATACATTGGGCTAAAGATCTGGGACATAATATTGATATGGTGGCATGGGAAAAGTTGTGGAAATTAGATATGAAATATACTGCCTGTATAATGTATAAGGAAAATGATTTGAAAATGATATACAGGTGGGTCCTTAACACCTAATAAACTGGCCAAGATGTGTAAGATTGTTTCAAGTAAATGCTGGAAATGCAAACAGTCTGAAGGGACATTTTTTCATATGTGGTGGACTTGTAAAAAAGTGGCAGGCTTTTGGGAAATGATACATAATGAATTGAAGAAATGTTTAAAATAGACATTAGCAAAAAGCCTGAAGTATTTATTTTGGGAATAATCAGTGCTTTTTTCTGGGGGGACACGGGGGGACGCATACCCCTAAACATTTGGAGGAGCAGCAATAGTAGTGGGGGATTTGGGTAGCTTACACGCCCTGCAGAAAGAGGATGAGGCATCCTCTTTGTAGGTGAGTTCCTTTTTTTCCTTAGCGCATCGCATTTAGTTGGGGATCCTGGCTGGCCTTTGGGAGAGGGGGCGGGGGCGCATTGGCACCGAGCGGAGTGACTGAGGGAATGCTGCCAGTGGCGTCCTCTCTCTCTGCCCCCATGCACCACTTTCTCCTGGGCGCGCACGCGCCTAAGGCTGAATGGAAGCAGCCTGGAGGCAGGGCGGCCTCTCAGCGGTTCATGAGCGTCTCTGAGGTGGGAGATGTTGAGCAGAGGCTCTGTGAGAGGGCGTGAGGGATGCGTGGCAGTGCCTGTGTGCATGCGACTTAAGAGGGCGACCTGCTGTCTCTCCCCTCTCCCCCCACCGCCCCTCACAGAGTCCCTGGCACAGCTTGGTGCTACTACAGCTGCTGCTGCTGCTGTTTGGATGAAGGTGGCTTCTTCTGAACGCTGAGCCACTGAGGGACCGCAGTCTCCCGCCCTCTTCTTTTGGTGGGATGCTGAGCTAAAGGCAGTGTTTTTCCCCACATACTGTATTTATTTTCCCTAATTTGAACTATAAAATGGTGATTTTCTTGAGTCAAAATGAGAGAACCCCCCCAAACATTTTTAAAGAAAAAAAGCACTGGGAATAATAGTGACACAGGTCCCAAAAAGTTGCTTAAATTGTTTATGTATGCCACCACCGCAGCCAGAAATCTCTAGGCACAGAAATGGAAAGAAGAAGTTCCAACAAAAGAGGAGTGGGATTTGAAATTATTGGACTATATGGAAATGGCAAAATTGACAGCAAAAACAAGAGAACAAATACAAGATGGGGGACACCTGGCTTGAGAGCAGTACATGTGAAAAGGATCTAGGAGTCTTGGTTGACCACAAACTTGACATGAGCCAACAGTGTGACGCGGCAGCTAAAAAAGCCAATGCAATTCTGGGCTGCATCAATAGGAGTATAGCATCTAGATCAAGGGAAGTAATAGTGCCACTGTATTCTGCTCTGGTCAGACCTCACCTGGAGTACTGTGTCCAGTTCTGGGCACCACAGTTCAAGAAGGACACTGACAAACTGGACCGTGTCCAGAGGAGGGCAACCAAAATGGTCAAAGGCCTGGAAATGATGCCTTATGAGGAACGGCTAAGAGAGCTGGGCATGTTTAGCCTGGAGAAGAGGAGGTTAAGGGGTGATATGATAGCCATGTTCAAATATATAAAAGGATGTCACATAGAGGAGGGAGAAAGGTTGTTTTCTGCTGCTCCAGAGAAGCGGACACAGAGCAATGGATCCAAACTACAAGAAAGAAGATTCCACCTAAACATTAGGAAGAACTTCCTGACAGTAAGAGCTGTTTGACAGTGGAATTTGCTGCCAAGGAGTGTGGTGGAGTCTCCTTCTTTGGAGGTCTTTAAGCAGAGGCTTGACAACCATATGTCAGGAGTGCTCTGATGGTGTTTCCTGCTTGGCAGGGGGTTGGACTCGATGGCCCTTGTGGTCTCTTCCAACTCTATGATTCTATGATTCTATGAATTAACTGAGGAAAATATTAGTCAAATGAAATTGCAGGCAGGACTTGAAATATAAAAGGAATGAGAATGATAAATGAATGTAATGTAGGATACATGTTTTAGCTAAATATTACATTTGTGGGTGTAGATGAATGATTTGAATAGAAACTTCATGAAAGTAAGGGTGGGAAGTCAAAATTTTAAGGGAATATTGTACTGAAATTGAATTGGATTTGTTAAATTGTTTGAAAACTAGTAAAAATTTGTGGGGGGAAAGCCTGAACTGTAAAAATGTACATACTACTGAGGGAAATGAAAAGACACCCCCAGCACAAGACAAGTGGTGACTCTGAGGTGCCATTAGCGTTTATCTTCTGTATCATTGCATGCAGCACTGTTTCTGTTCCACAGCAGTTCATCTTCCACCCAAAACTATGCAAAAATGCTAGGATTTTTGAAGTGTAAAAATGCCTCACTTTTACTGCCACATTCTGCACAATGGGTGGAATATCTCTTAGAGACTCTGCTCAAGTTGTTGCTATTGCTATTGTTAGTAATATCAATATTAATATTTCTCATCATTTTTTACAAAATACCTCAAAGAAGCAACTTACAAAATATTCAAGTACTGAAAAACTTAACAAACTTCAAAATTCATAACATAGAATAAACCATAAGAATAATAAAAAGTATTCACCCGTCAGCAAGAATAAAAAGACCAATCCTATTCCACTAAAAGGTGAACTACCAAAACAGGCTGGAAGAAAGTTATATTTGCAGCACAGCAGCTTCAGTAACAAGTGAGTTCGACAACATATGGTTGAGGAGTTCACAGCATTTGCCCCTTACCATCATTGCACATTAGGACTGGTCCAAGTTATTTTGCTCCCTGAAGCAACAGGTGAGATGGTGCCCTCCCTTTCTACATATAAGAGTCAAATTAGGCTGTGTAGGCAGTAGAGGGAATGCTCACCCCTTACCCCCTTGCCCAGCACCTGCCACCTAAGGCGGTTTTCTCACCCTGCCTAATGATAGGGCCTGCCTTGCTGCCCAGGGTACTCTCATCCTCTCCCAAATTTGGGCCTTCTGACATTGCTTCCGTAGTGTAGGAAGGAGCTGCACAGAAGCAGCAGGCATTCTCAAAGGTCGTGCCAGGAGGGGTCTTTGGTTGGGGGACACTTACAGTCCCAGCAGTAAGAGCAAAACCAACAATTTCCATAAATCTATCCGACTCTAGTAAGAAACTTCCTTTTTGATTCCTGTGACTGTATGAAATCCTTCCCTCCCTAATTTCCAAGCCAAATTAATTAACGTTCCATTTATAATCATTAGTTCTCATACACGCAAGCTTCTTTAACCTAAATTACTCTTCCACCCCTACTGTGTTACTTCCTCTGATGTATCGGCTATAAAATAAATCACTCCCTCCTCTCTCCAGAGCTAAATAGGCAACACTTTTTAAATCTTTAATCAGATAAACTTTCTGCTCTTATGCATTTTCAGAAGTGTTCACACATCAGCTGTGAAATTCCAGCAATAATCTGCCTGCTTCTTATGCGTAACTGGGTTGCCTTAAGTTATCACTGAGGCTGTGCCCTACAGAGGCTGTGAATTTCAAGTGCACATCTGGTATGTTTTTATTAGCCTCACAACAATTTTCTTGTAGTACCTTTATGAGGACATAATAGGGCTGGCAACAGATTGCCGAGCCAATAGCTATGAGCCACAGGGCTCAATCACATGTCACAGCTGATGAACAGCCATAGCCAAGAGTCAGCTGTTCGCTCCCTCTAACAACAAACACAGGTGGTGAGTGTTGACAGGATTAAAGCCAGAAATGGAAGCAAGAGGGAGAGAACACTGAAAAAGTCAAGGAGGGGGGATCCCTACCCGCAACCCCCAGCCCAGGGAGGACTGAGGATGTCATGGAATGCTAACTGAAGAAAGAAAAGGGGGGGAGAGAGAGACTGACTGGAGAGCCAAACAGGTACCTACTGGACATATCTGCAAGAAGCTGCCTTATACTGAGTCAGACCCCTGGTTCATCCAGACCAGTGTGGTCTCCACCGACTGGCAGTGGGTTTCTAGGATATCTGACCAGGAGTCTCTCTCAGCCCCTCCTGGAGATGTCAGGGATTGAACCTGGGTCCTTCTGCATACAAAGCAGATGCTGCACCACTGAGCTACAGTCCCCTCCACCCTGGTTAGGATGGAGGATACACCAGGTTGCTTTGTTACAGTGTCTGCTTCTATTATATCACTGACAATCTAGTGGAATGCTCAACATCACTAGGACAGATGGTGTGAGGTTCAATCTCCCTACATGGGAGCTATCCTCAGGGTGCCACAGCCTTGGTACACCATGAAAGGGCAATGGACCTGAAAGACTGCCAGCCCCTGTATAAACCTGAAAGATGACTTAGACCACCTGGGGAAATTCTACTTATGGTACCACACCCCAAAGAATATCATGGGGCAGGGACCTGAGAATGGGCATTTTCCACGATTGCCACTGTATCACAAAACACCCTTCCCTCTGCCATATGTGTTGATCATCGCTTGCTTCAGATGCCTTAGTATCGTTTTGCTCAGGCTTTTCCTGACCCACAAGATTGGACCCTGTCTTCATTTGCCTGAATTCTAAGTTTTTGTTTTCATATATTTTTGCGCTACTGTTCTCCTGGCTTTTGTTGTACATTGCTTTGAGGTTTTTTTGTTTTTGTTTTTACATGTTTTAGAAATGCTTTTAAATAATATAATATAATATATTTGTGGACAACCCTGGAGGTGACAAATCTGTTTCTTCCTTCTTGTTGCTGTGACCAGTATTTGATGCAAAGGATCCTTCTCTTGAGGCGAATGCCGCCGGTGGCTGGTCTGAGTTGCAGAGCACCGACTTTCTTCCATTTTCAGACCCCTGTAGCAGTGGCAAGATTTGCTTTTAAAGCTTGAGCCAATTTCCTACTTTCTCCTAGTGTGATGAATAAGTAAGATTGTATTGCTATGGTGACTCCCCCTCCCAATTGTTATTCCAATTTTTGTTTTCTGCTTTTACCTATGGTTGAAACAATAAAGACTGACTGACTGACTGACTGACTGGTGTGAAGGCTTGATGTTGTTCCATCTCAAGTCCCAGGGGTCACTTCTAATGCAGCTCTACATTAGAGTCAGTCAGCAGTATACTTGTTCATCTGGAGAAATGTTTTGTGCCAGCGGAAGTTGGCTTCCCAAAATAATTCATGAGAGGCTTGCTGGTAACTTTGCTGCAGAATGGATTGCACAATCTGTTGCGTTAAGAGTTGCTGCTAATGCAACTGTTGCACTGGATTCCTCTGTTGTGCAACACTGAAACTCACCCCTCCATTAGTGAAAGTGCTCTTGTGCTAGTAGAGCAAAAACATTAGTTACAGTCTCCAGATTGTGGCCCCTTTTTATATTCTTCCACAGAACTGAATGGGAACTATGAAGAGCTAACCCTCCACACTCTGCATAAGCCTTCACTTTATAGCCCCAGAAATCAAACATTGCTGGCAAAGGATGCTTTAAACCCTCCTTCCCCAAGGACTGTATACAGATGAAAATCATGCCTCCCCTGTAACATGTCTTTTATTAAAAAAATTAAATGCCTGATGTGCTTCCAAGTGACACATCTAGTATTATATCTAGTTTTGGCCTTCACTTATATGCTTTCCTAAGTTGTTACCAAAAGAAACTTCCCTTTCCCCAGCTAAAAATGGTTCCCCATCCCGGATCTAGAAGAAGCTGCAGCTGGGGCAGTAGCCTAAACTAATGAAAGACTGCTGCAAACTGTAAAGTGGATGTATCAAACTATGGATAATGCATAAATAAATAATAAAAATAAAAATAAAGACTGTTGCATGGATTGCTGAAGCAACATATGTGATGCTCCTTTGACATTTGATAAATATTCTATATAACAAGCTGCATATTATCAATAACCAGGCAAGTTATATTATAAAGTCTTTTTTTTTCACCTTGAAAACCCAGGGACTAGAAAATTAGAAAATGTTTTAAACTGGATTTTATCATATTCTTGATTTTATCATACAGAGTATTTTGACTACTGAAGGTGTATCTATCAACATGCATCCTAGTCCTCTCATGCATGTTTATGCAGAAGTAAGTTCTGGCTTCTTCCTCCCAAGAAAACATGTCCATGGCAAGGCAGCTCTAACGTCAGGGTGTCTCTGCACTTTTTTACAGTGTCCACCACAAACCGATCTGATGTTTCATGGGAAGTGGCAGCAAGTCCTTCATTAATGGCACAAAATGCCTGTGCTGAGAGTCCAGCAGCTTCAGAGCTATTTTTAGTGGTGAAGTTGCTACTGGGTTTAATTAGCTTACCTGACAGAAATATTTCCTGCTATTGATGTACCAGGAGAATTTATTAATAAGAGCTGCTAAAGGTCCCCTTGTGTGTGAAAACATTTTTTAATCTTCTTGTTTTCATTACTGTTTAAGTGCCAACAATCATATCACATTCTTTGCCATAAAAACACATCTGAAATGGACATCTTTGTGGGTCTACAGCCCTTTCGCACAGAAGAGCGGGGAGAAGGCCACAGGGTGGTGGCAGAGCATGCGTGCACGCAGAAGGTTCCCGGCTCATTCTCCAGGCAGGGCTGCAAATGCCCCTGGTCTGGAGCCCTGGAAAGCTGCTGGCAGCCTGAGTAGACAACACTGAGCTAGATGGACCAATGGTCTGAATCCGCATGAGGCAGCTTGCTATGTTCCTATGGCCAGGGTGCCCCACATGCCACTGCAATCAGGGTTGTATCCAAGCTTCTCGGCCAGAGCTCTCGTGCTGGCAGACAGATGGATTCTAATTTTGTGCAACAGAAACTTGTGCACAGACTATTGTGCCCTGAAGTTATCAGCAGCTTGCTTATGCATTCTTTTGAGCAACTATGTTCCACTTGTGCAAAACATTTCACCAGCACAACTACTATATCGCTGAGTAACTTTAACTTAGTGCTCCACTGGATATAACCCATACAGTCCAAACCGCCTAAGGAGGTGGACTTGGGAGTATCTCCTCCCAAGCGAAATGCAGAAGACTGCTCTATCTTGGAGCTGTAGACATGACAGCGCCAGCTTGGGATCTCAGAAAACCCCATTTGGGAGAGCTTCCCACTTTGGATATGTTTGCTGATTCTGACCGGCAGGGATTCCAGCCCTTCTGCCTGCCTGTGCATTTGGTAGGTGGAATATAATAATAATAATAATAATAATTTATTATTTATACCCCGCCCATCTGGCTGGGCTTCCCCGGCCACTCTGGGCGGCTTCCAAAAGAATATTAAAATACTATAATACATCAAACATTAAAAGCTTCCCGAAACAGGGCTGCCTTCAGATGTCTTCTAAAAGCCTGGTAGTTGTTGTTCTCTTTGACATCTGGTGGGAGGGTGTTCCACAGGGAAGGCGCCACTACCGAGAAGGCCCTCTGCCTGGTTCCCTGTAACTTGGCTTCTCGCAGTGAGGGAACCGCCAGAAGGCCCTCAGTGCTGGACCTCAGTGTCCGGGTAGAACGATGGGGGTGGAGACGCTCCTTCAGATATACTGGACCAAGGCCGTTTAGGGCTTTAAAGGTCAGCACCAACACTTTGAATTGTGCTCGGAAACGTACTGGGAGCCAATGTAGGTCTTTCAAGACCGGTGTTATGTGGTCTCTGCGGCCGCTCCCAGTCACCAGTCTAGCTGCCGCGTTCTGGATTAGTTGTAGTTTCCGGGTCACCTTCAAAGGTAGCCCCACGTAGAGCGCATTGCAGTAATCCAAGCGGGAGATAACCAGAGCATGCACCACTCTGGCGAGGCAGTCCGCAGGCAGATAGGGTCTCAGCCTGCGTACCAGATGGAGCTGGTAAACAGCTGCCCTGGACACAGATTTGACCTGTGCCTCCATGGACAGCTGTGAGTCCAAAATGACTCCCAGGCTGCGCACCTGGTCCTTCAGGGGCACAGTTACCCCATTCAGGACCAGGGAATCCTCCACACCTGCCCGCCTCCTGTCCCCCAAAAACAGTACTTCTGTCTTGTCCTGACAGATTGATTCAACCTCAATCTGTTAGCCGCCATCCAACCTCCAACCGCCTCCAGGCACTCACACAGGACCTTCACTGCCTTCACTGGTTCTGATTTGAAAGAGAGGTAGAGCTGGGTGTCATCCGCATACTGATGAACACCCAGCCCAAATCCCCTGATGATCTCTCCCAGCGGCTTCATGTAGATGTTGAAAAGCATGGGGGAGAGGACAGAACCCTGAGGCACCCCACAAGTGAGGGCCCAGGTGTCTGAACACTCATCCCCCCCCCACCACTTTCTGAACACGGCCCAGGAGGAAGGAGCGGAACCACTGTATAACAGTGCCCCCAGCTCCCAGCCCCTCAAGACGGTCCAGAAGGATGTTATGGTCGATGGTATCAAACGCCGCTGAGAGATCCAGCAGAACTAGGAAACAGCTCTCACCTTTGTCCCTAGCCCGCCGGAGATCATCAACCAGTGCGACCAAGGCAGTTTCAGTCCCATGATGAGGCCTGAATCCCGACTGGAAGGGATCCAAATGGTCCGCTTCTTCCAGGCGTGCCTGGAGTTGTTCAGCAACCACTCGCTCAATCACCTTGCCCAAGAATGGAAGATTTGACACTGGGCGATAGTTGGCTATCGTGGCCGCATCTAAAGATGGTTTTTAAGAAGCGGTTTAATAACCGCCTCTTTCAGCGGGTCTGGGAAGGCTCCCTCACGGAGGGAAGCATTCACCACCCCACGAAGCCCATCGCCCAGTCCTTCCCGGCTAGCTTTTATAAGCCAGGATGGGCAAGGATCAAGGAGGCAAGTGGTTGGTTTCACTCGTCCAAGCAGCCTGTCCACATCCTCGGGGGTAACAGATTGGAAATGATCCCACACAACTTGACTAGACAGGACTCTAGCACTCTCCCGCCCCGGCCCTGCTCCCACGGTGGAGTCTACCTCTTCTCGAATCTGAGCGACTTTATCTGCCAAAAACTTTGCAAAGTCATTGCAGGAGATCATGTGGCCCCTACTGGGCCCTGATGGAGCAGGTGGTTCCGCTAAATTGCGAACCACCTGAAAGAGTCTCCTGCTGCTGTTTTCCGCAGATGCAATAGAGGCGGTGAAGAAAGTCTTCTTCGCCGTCGCTATCGCCACTTGGTAGGCTCGACATTGAGCTCTAACCTGTGTCCGGTCAGATTCAGAATGGGTTATCCGCCACCGGCGCTCTAGCCGTCTCAACGATTGTTTCATTGCCCTCAGATCCGTGGAAAACCACGGGGCTGTCCGGACTCCATGCAATCGGAGAGGGCGCTTTGGAGCCAAACAGTCAATAGCCCTGGTTAACTCCACATTCCAGCGGGCCACCAGGGAATCAGCTGAAAGGCCATCAACATGGGATAAAACATCCCCTACCACTCTCTGGAAACCATTTGGATCCATTAAGTGGCGGGGGCGGACCATCTGAATCGGTCCTGCCTCCCTGCAGAGGGGAAGGGTCATGGAGAAGTCCAGTTGCACCAGGAAGTGATCTGACCATGGCACTTCTTTGGTTTCGCTTTTACTTAGTGTCAGATCACCAACATCCATAGAGGTGAACACCAGGTCTAAGGCATGCCCGTGGCTATGGGTTGGGCCAGACTTATTCAGGGACAGCCCCATGGAGGCCATGCTTTCCACGAAGTCCCGAGCGGCCCCTTGCAAGGTCGTGTCGGCATGGATGTTAAAATCCCCTAGGACAACCAAACTAGGTGTCTCCAGGAGGACATCCACCACGACCTGAAGCAGCTCGGGCAGGGAATCCTTGGTGCAGCGGGGAGGTCGGTACACCAATAGGAATCCTGTACTGCCCCTATTGCCCAACTTCCAGAACATGTACTCAGAGAACTGGGTCTTTCCAATAGGACGTCTGGTGCAAACTAATGACTTCCTAAAAATCACTGCAACCCCCCCTCCCCGCCCACAAGGCCTGGGTTGCTGTGCGTAAGAGAAACCTGGTGGACAAGCAGCGGCAAGGACGGGCCCATCTGCTTCATCCAACCAGGTCTCTGTCACACATGCCAGGTCAA